CTCTAGGGAAATCATTACTTGCCATCATTATTATCCCCAGCACCTTCATCTATTCTACCTTGTTTCCTGACTCCATGGCTTGATGAAGTGCCTAGATGTGCGAACACCTTATCTCAGGTCTCAGAATTAACCCCTTCACAACACAGGCTGAGGAAATTATTTTTCCTGGGATATACTCCATCTAGTTCAATATTTGGGACTCTTTATAGTAATCACAGCAGCTTTAACAGTTTCAACTCTGTTTTTGCGGTAAGATGTGAATTTTGTAAGTGTGCTGATGGCTAGAAGAAAAATGCTTTCCACCTAGAGAAACTTGGCCTTATGCAACCTTTTTATTCTCCCTGAAAGGTAATCAAGCTGTATTTCAAGCCAGCACCTCATCTATACCCCTGAAAAATCCCCACAGTGGCAATAGTATATTAAATGTTAGTCATTCATAAATTTTTATGAGTGTAGTCGTAATTATCTAGAAATTAATAAACTATGAAGATGGCTTTTTTTTTTTTAGTTTGAAAGACTTATACCATATTTCTAAATAGACCTGAAAACAAAATAAAAGTAAAGATGTTGACAGAATGTACTTCTAGATTTGAATTTAATGTTCAAACAATCTGTCAGTTCAGTACCTTAGAACCATCCTATTTTATAAACCAAACCTACTTATGGGTTTGATTGAACAGGGAAATGTTATTCCTACTATCATGAAAAGAGGCCTAGACCAAGTCTTAGTAAACCTTATCCTTGCTCTGTTAACTAGTAGAATTTTTTTGAGAAAGACATAGCATATTGTTGACTCTCAGTTTTCTCATCAGTAAAATTGGGGAGTTTAAAAGACAGCCTATTTTCTAGGTATGAAATATATTATTTTACTCTGTAATGTTACAGACATATTCATCTGTCACCCAAGGCCTCACTCTCCTACCTCCTCCAGGAAGCCTTCCTGCCTATTGCTGCCCACAGTACAGTCACTGATGTGTAGTTACAGCCATTCACTTGCTGTTTTCATGTTCATTCTGGTGATGATTTCTGGTACTTTAAAAAAAAGTTTCACAACTGTATATTACAAGAAGGGTTTATGATTCTGTTTTACATGTTATTCCAATATCTCTAAAAATTGACTCTCTGTTCTTTGAGACTGCATTTTATTTTTGGAAAAAGCCCAAATTGGTCTGTTGATATTCTTATAAAGAAGGTGAGTACTCAAGACTGGAAACTTGGTTTTCAAATGAATCTCTATATTGTTCAAATTTCTTGATTGAAACCGACCATGAACACAACTCCAAGAGAAGAGATCTCAAAATGCATCGCATTATGTCAGCATTGTTAGAATAAGCATACTGTCTGGTGAATAACTACCTCGGAAAAATGGTTTCTATTTTGATGCAATTTAACTTAATTGTTTTGTAATCAGTTTCATGCCCTTACAGCCACACATTATATGTCTTGTCCCACTAAGTTACAGTTTCTTCCCAGGAAAAAAAGTGGTGTTTATCTGTATACATTTGTCATGTAAATATTTCAATTCTTTCCTCAGTTCAGCCTTCAAGTTGCTATTAAAGAATCAATCAACTAAATTAGTCAGAGGGTGTTTGTGTTTTATTAGCCGGTATCAGAGATGAGAATGAGTGAGTATTTTTAAAAATGAGAAAGTAAACTGTCTGTTCCACAGGAGAATATATGAATTACACATGTAAATAAAAAATTACGAATTAATATTCATATCTATAAACATGAGTGTAGGTGAATGTCTTTATGAATCATATTAAAATACTTTGGCTCAGAACTTTTTTGTTAACTTGTCAGCAGGAAAAAAAAAAAAAACACTTCCAAATCTGTTTGTGAAAGGAAAGAGCTAGAAACACTCTACTTCTCCAATGTGTGCCTTTCTTTGAGATCTGAATAAATTATGGAGGCTTAAGGAAAATATTGGGCTTAACGATGTTGGCAGCCAAGCAACCATGTCCACCAATTCCGTCTATAAGAGAAGTTCCCCAGTAACGCTGACCACATCAGTTCATCGAGTCCAAGTCCAGTCAGACACACACAGACACAGGCAAGATTAAAGGAACACCAAACCTGTTAGACTTGTTTGGTTGTCGTTGCATATTCATAAAATAGTAATGGTCACTTTGTTCGTTCAACCTAAACTTCAAAGATATTTTAACTCCAATGTTCTGGTCTTCATTTTCAGTATATTTTGTACCTATTGTACAAACCCATCTATTATATACATAGCTTACATATTTATACTGTATATGGTAACCATGATTATGTGGCATATTCATACTATAATTATATATTAGTTTTGACAATAAATAGCTACTCCTGACCTCCTTGGAATGTCCTTCTTACTTTACCTTCCAGCCTCCTAAGTGTGGTATGTCGCTTGGGAGAGATAAACTTTCATTTGTGATTATCTCATTATCTCACTGAAAGAAATCAAACTGCATGAGAAATTTCCTGCAGAATATTGTTAATATTTTATTCCTTTGGAAAACAAAAACTCGTATAAACATGTTAAGGTTTTGATACTAAGTTTATTTTTGTTTAGAAGGTACAAACATGATTTTATTTTTGTTACCAAGGTCTTGCCATAAAGGAATTTTGAATCACAAGTATTGAGTCACATTCTATCACCATAAATTAGATAAGGTATTTATAATACCAACCAAGCCTTGGGATGTAAGTCTGAAAGAGATAAATTCTAAAATTGGTTTAAAGAGGCTGTGAAAAGTGAGCCCGGAAGGGAGAAGCCCTGGTTTGAATTCCAAAAACTGGAAAAAGTGAGTCTTGATGGCTGTAATCCTGAGTCAGAGTTAGGGCTTCAGTAGTTGGTGTATTATTATAAAATCACGTTTTACTGTTGCTCCAAAACTCCCCCTCCTCCTATGGACAAGAACTTAGGGACCAAAAGAGCTGAATCATGATCTACGATTAGCTATTTCTGCTGCATCTATCATCAGCTACATCTATCCTGAGCAGAGGAGTTCCTAGGCTGTGGGACCACTTAGCTCTAGGTTCAAGGTTGGGGGAACAAACAGTGGCACTTCATGTTTGAGTTCATTGCCCATCAATACCAATACCCACCTTGACCCATCTTAAGTGCCTAGTGTTAATCGTTTCAGCCATTCTGCAACATGAACTTCTTCCGCTATCGTATATCTGGTTTCTTTGCATGTATTAAATAATAATCATATTTTCAAAAGTACACCAAAAAGAGAAAGAATAAATTCTAAAGCTCCGGACAATCCCTAAGTTTCACAGTGAGCTCTTTAATTATTTAGAGGTGATTTAGGATTCTGTAATTAATTTCAAATCATGTAAACTTAATAGCCATTATGTCTTACATTAATATCATATTTTTTTAAAAAAATCCTCGCAACTCTGATAGGACTTAGCTATGTTGCATTAAAATTTTGAATAAGGCTAATAAATCACACATGGAATTAGTAGGTTATGGAATTGCGGAGCAGGCAGGAGATTATAAAACAAGTTGTTAAATTTGGGTAATTTGTCCATACATAACTGTTTCCCATCACTCCATTTCCTGTCCGAAAATGGTATAAAAGGTATATCTTATAAAAGGAGTCTAAGGTTCTGGAATCTTCTGGCTTGGTCAGTTGACATTTATGCTCTATTAGGTTGCTAAGACTACCAAATTCAAGTGTAGGAATTTGGGGAATATAACATCATGGGGAATATAATAATGTCATCAGGAAGCTGCATCCCATTCTATCTTCAGATATTTTTCTTACTTATACACCTTGCATGGAGTCTTTGCTGTGGTCGCTCATCCTGGAAACCAAAGCACCCTTTGTTGTCTGGTCCAGAACAATCAGCGGTTACGCCCCCTCATTTAATTTTTCTAAGCCGGGTACAAGGTAGTCAGGGAAGGTGCTATTATCATCAACCTACAGAAAAAAGAATGTAAGGCTCAAGGAGGTATTTATCCAAGTTTGCAGAGCCAGCCAACATGTGAAAATAAATTTAAATTCAGATTGGTGGATTCTAATTCCTCTGTTCTGCTGCTGAGTCTGTGAAAAAGGTGGACAGAGATGTTTACTTTAGAATGGGCAGGTGGTGTAGACTTAGCCAGATTATGAAGTAGCAAATAATGAATTCCAAATCGTTTTGGCTTGTTTTCGCCAGGCAAAACAAGGCCCACCTTTTTCATTTTGTGGGGATAACCCATACGTTTTCACGGGCTGCACTGCCTGGTTCAGTGCCTGCTTTCCATAGTCAAACACAGAGATATCATGGTAGGCTAAACCTAGCTCAACATATGGTGCTCTGGGGAGGATTTGGGGGAGGGGAATGTATATAAAGAGTTCTTTTGTAGAGTGCAAGGATATTAAGAGTGAATATAAAAGGTAAAAACAATACCTGTGCTCTTAAGAATATTATTACACAGATATATCCAAAGGATTATAAATCGTTCTATTATAAGGACATGTGCACACGAGTGTTCATTGCAGCAGTATCTACAATAGCAAAGACCTGGAACCAACCCAATGCCCATCGATGATAGACTGGACAGGGACAATGTGGCACATATACACCATGGAATATTATGCAGCCATCAAAAACGATGAGTTTGTGTCCTTTGTAGGGACATGGATGAACCTGGAAAGCATCATTCTCAGCAAACTGACACAAGAGCAGAAGATCAAACACCGCATGTTCTCACTCATAGGCGGGGGTTGAACAATGAGAACACATGGACACAGGGAGGGGAGCACTACACACTTGGGTCTGTTGGGGGGAAATGGGGGGGGATGGTAGGGGGTGGGGAATTGGGGAGAGATAGCAAGGACAGAAATGCCAGATATAGGTGATGGGGAGGAAGGCAGCAAATCACACTGCCACGTGTGTACCTAACATGCAACAATCTTGCATGTTCTTCACATATACCCCAAAACCTAAAATGCAATAAAATAAATTTAAAAAAAAAGAATATTATTATACAGAAACTCGGTGGTGGCCGCCGCGCAGACCAGACTTTGCTCATTCTTGCACCTGGCTCCACTTTTCCTCTGCAACCATGACTGGCAAACCCAGTATGGCTGAGATGGAGAAATTCGATAAGTCGAAACGGAAGAAGACAGAAACGCAAGAGAAAAATCCACTGCCTTCCAAAGAAGCGATTGAACAGGAGAAGCAAGCAGGCGAATCGTAATGACTCACGCGCCGCCAATATGCACTGTACATTCCGCAAACATTGTGGAATGTACATTCTTATTTTACTTCTTTAGCTGTTTAACTTTGTGAGATGCAAAGAGGTTGGATCAAGTTTAGATGACTGTGCTGTCCCTTTCATATCAAAGAACTACTGACAACGAAGGCCGCGCCTGCCTCTCCCATCGGTCTATTTGGCTGGCAGGGAAATAAAGAACTTGCATGTTGGTGAAGGAAGAAGTGGGGTGGAGGAAGTGGGGTGGGACAAGTGTGAAATCCAGAGTAAAACCAAGCTGGCCCAAGGTATCTGCAGGCTGTAACGCAGTTTAATCAGAGCGCCATTTTTTTTCTTCAAATGATTTTAATTATTGGAATGCACATTTTTAAAAGTATGCAAATAAAATTTTAAAAACTTAAAAAAAGAATATTATTATACAAGCAAGAGAAATATCCAATATTTATGAAGCATTGTTGAATGCTTCTTAATGCCGTATATCTAGGCAGTCAGATGTATGTCTGTTCTCCTAAGAGTATTATCGATTTATGGTGGCTTAATAGCCGCACACGACGAATTTTACTTCATAATCAAATCGCCTTTGATAAGCAGCAAAGCCTAATGTAAAGTGCACTAGGTAAAGTGATGGTAGAGAGTATACAGTTTAGTGCTACCACTATATTCTAGTCAACAATAATAGTGAGGCCTACTATGTGTATCTACTCATTATTTAGCCTGGGAAGACTTCTACGCTTGGACAAATGCAGTAGCTTACCATAAAATATGTAAGTATGAAGCGCCCTTGAAGAGTACAGGTGGACTGGGGTTGGAGAAAGCCTGACTAGAAGAGTGAGTGCCATTTTGACATCTATCTGACAATAGGCCAATTTGAGAACTAACCAACTACTTGCCTAGGTCCTTGTGGATAATTAAACTTACTTTGTTAGAAGATGAAAGTTAGTGAGAGCTCTTAGCCTTGATGATTCAGGGAGAGGAGAAGGGGCTTAAGCTGATTTGAATCCGAAACCATTCATTAATCCACTTAACCTCATTCATTTTAGATGTGACTACTAATTTCAGGGCACTTTTGGCTTTTGTCTAGCTCTTTTCTCCTTTAGTGCTTCCTTATAAACAATTCCTTTCTTAGTTTTTCATTTTGTTTACCTCTCGCTCACTCTTTCATTCTTGGGAAATGACTTTCTGCTTTCCTAGGATACCCGGACCATTGTAACTATGATGATTTGTTTCATTTCAGAGATTTCTCAGTATGCTTTGCAATTCCCTGGTATACTCATTTTCCACCCGATGATGGTCTGCGAATTTAAGCACCTCAAAAAATTATTGGCTTACTTTGTGCCTTCTCTCTAATCATACTTTGAGGCTTGGTGAAAATGTGGCATTTCGACAAGGCTGTCCATGATTCTAGCAGCAGAATTAAATACTACACCTTCATCTGGGAGTACCTGGCACAAAAGTCTATCAACTATTATATTGTCTTTTTAAATGTTTAATATACCTGTGTTTACAAATAAAATGGGGACTTCTTGAGGGAGGGGCCAAATCTTCCTTACTGATATAACCCCATCAACTCCTGGTGTCTTCCACTTAAGGGATCGTCAATGAATATTACTTTGAAGAATTGTTTAAACTTCTGTGAAATGATGAAAAACGGAGAGTTGGGCCCAGTTATTCTTCTCTAGGCAAAGTGTTTGGGCTTGTGTTATTTGTTAGAACATAAATGAGTTAGCATTTATGCTTATGGAATAAGTTTGAAATCTATAATTGTAAATTCATGCTGATTTTAATGAAATCAAAACTCAAAGTGTGAAACCATCCAAATAAATATAATTTTCTCCAAACTGCTTTGATATGAAAAAGACTCTTTGGCATAGCTCCAATTAACTATCTTAGTCACCCACACAGAATCAAGAAGACTCCTTCCATCTGATTATAAGTTTCTGCAAATAGCAAAAACACTCAAAGCATTCCTGGTTGTTCTCTCTGTATGGGAATTTTCACAACCCAGAGCACATAGAATGGACTGATTTTGTCAGTTGTATAGACAGATCTGATCTATGTCTCATTTTTCAAGCTTTAAAAGTCCTACTGAATATGATTTTAGTAGTAAAAAGAAATCATATAAAATACGTTAATAAAAACGATGTTTTTATACTTCATCTAATATTTCTTGGCCAAGGTACATTTTCAAAGTTTAATTATAAGAGATTAATTTTTTATCATAGCACTATTGGTGTGTTCTAGTCTGCAGTTCTTAAGTGTAGTATTTAAGGGTCTTGTTTTTTGTTTTTTTTTTTAATGTCAAGCTTTTGTTTTATATTCTTCCAACCTTTGCCCACTATGGGCTTCTCTGCTTCTGTTAATTGTTCCAAACACCTGCTACAAACTCAGCCTGTGAACAAACAAAAACTACAGGGAACTTGACAGCGAAACAAATAAATACAGATATAGGAGTTTGATAAAACCTGCCCTCTGACTAAATCTGTAAATACTCAGGCTGAAAAACGAGAATGTCTGCAGATGTATCTGTTGGCAAATGGGAAAGAAGTGACCTACTGAGGCCAGTATAGGAGGCAGTGAAGGCATGGTAAACATGTCTGCCTACCTTTTGATAAGTTGTTCCAGATGGTTGCATAGACACAAGACAGACTCGTGAGCTGGTTTATTTCTATCATGAAGAAAAAGAAAGCAACTCTCTATCATGGGCCAGGGCAGGATATTTCACTGTCCATGTATAACACAACAGGCAAGTAGTTTTGAAGGTACCCACCCCTCATTATTTGAATGAAGGAACTTTACCAGCACTGGGCATATATCACATGTCTCCCAGCAAGATTAGAGCTTCACTAAAACTAAGAGCATGGTCTTTGCCCAGGAGGTAATAAATTTCCTGGGCTAGCAACAGTGAAGATTTGGGAAGTGAAGAAAAAAAAGTCTTTAAGCATCTCTTAGGCATGTCATGAAAGGGCACATTCAATATAACTCATATGAAAAAGTAATGTCTGATGGTGCTTGGGAAAGAGAGAGAGGGAATGGCGAGGCGTTTAGGAGTAATTCAGAAAGTAAGTTGCAGCAGATGTGTTCATCACTGAAGATAAGCAAAGGAATTGTCTTCACCCTATCTTTTGACCAAACCACAAAAGTAATGATCATGTTGTGTGGAGTGGGAGGGTCTACGGTCCCTTCTAATAACCAAACCACCTAATTTTGAAAACAAATTTAACACTGAAAAAAAGAGAAGCAAGCCAGGGAATCCTTTTTTATTGAGATTATTTTTATTTGACAAACTAGGAAAAGTTAACATCAGTGTTTCATTTTCTTTCATCTTTTCATTGTTGCTACACCTTGAAAACTAAAACAAGGGCCCTTTCCTGTATAGAGGTAGAGAGGAAAAACAATAAAGGTTGAGAGGAAAAAGTAGAAATGCAAAGAAGAAATGAAATTTCAGAAGGAAAATTAAAAAGAACCAGTTCTCAGGAGGCTGAGGCAGAAGGATCCCTTGAGCCTAGGAGTTTGAGGCTGCAGGGAGCTGTGGCTATGCCACTGCACTCCAGTCTGGATGACAGAGTGAGACTCATCTCAAACAAAGAACTGCTAAATGAAACAAAAGGATTTGTTGAGTTTTTAGGGACTTAAATATCCAGCCAGACCTTGCACTCAGAGAGACAGGTTGGTAAAATGTGCTGAAGCCGAGTGTGGCTTGGAAGAATGCCAGGGAGAATGCACAGAGGCGCTTCTTTGTGTGGTATTGTTTCTGTGGGTAAATGCCAAGACTGGCCCTGGGCTAATTGAAATGAGCAGCTGCATGGGTCACATCAGTAAAAGGAGCAAGTATTAACAGGTGCACGGGGGCCACAGGCTTTCCCTTTGTCAATATTGAAGTAAACAGGTAATGCTGTTCATTTGTCTTCTTAAAATGTAAAACTTCAGGCTCAAATTGAAAGCAGCCCTTGGCATCTCCTCTGTGTCTGTCAATGAGTATAGGCTGCCTCCAGCTTCCCAAATTCAAACCAGGCAGTTACTCATGTCCAGCAGGAAACAGAAGTTCAAGGGCTATATCTTCAGGTGTTGATGCTCAGGACAGACTGCAAAATCACAGGAACTTGTAGCAGGTGTCGAGTGTCTTTCCCAGATTTTACAGATTGCATCTTGAAGTTGTTTGTCTTCAAGAAGCCTCTTGTGGGGGGAGAAAACCTCTCTTCCACTTCTGATTCCATTCAGGGCCACTATAATCTTATTCTTGTTTGCTTGCTTGGGGCATAAAAAGCACCAAGGCCAGTCTTGCTAAGTTGTTTCATTCCCTCTGAGTCTGTCAAAGAAGTTGGACTAACATGGTTGCTGGGTGTTAAAAAAATTAACATTCTCACCACAAAAACTTCAGATTGGACCAAGGAAAGAATCTGTGAGTGGGGTTTAATGATCCATCAAAACTATAGGGTTTAATTTTAGACCAGAAATATTTTTCATTTATGTTTATTAATGTGAGACTTTTCAAGAGAGGACAAAAGGGAACTGCAAACTGTAAAACAGAATCATAAACAGTTGATTTTATCATCAGGGACAATAGCCATTTTAACCACACTGAGAGTGTTCAGGGGTTCACAAAGCGTTCGTCTCTATCACAGGTTCTTATTCCAAACAATGTGGAATTCTGCCATGTCCAGAAGGCAGATTGGGTAAACGTATTTTCCTTCTCTCCATTGTATACTACCTTAGCATTTTGACAAATCTGCTGTTTCATGTAACGCATTGTTTATTTTCTTTTACAACCCTCATACAAAATAATACTGAAAGAACTGAAACATGTTCCTTTTGTCTTAATATTTAGAGTCACTTTTGTACCAAACTTATATAATAATATGTGGCTCACCTAGGATGTGCTCCAAGCCCCAGGAGAGATTATTAATAAAGCTAATAACAAATATTGTTTTGTTGACTCTCAGGTGAAGCTAAGGAAAACATGTGACCATAGCTTGAGATCTTTCGCCTTCACAAAACCTCTCTCTTCCTCCTGTCACTTTAAACCAAAGCTGTTGAGTTAAGCTGATTGTATTGTCTTAACTAGTATTTGAAGAATCAAGTCTGATTTTCTGGTTTTGCTTTATTTTGTTTTGTTTTAATGAAGAAAGAGTTGGCATGGAGAAAACAGAACACTCTCACTTTTGTCCATTTCATTAGAATTATGGATAATCTGGTATTCCACTTTAATATTCATGTGTCGGGGAAAATATTAAAGGCGAGGCTATGTACATCTTGTAGTAGCCTCTGAATGTGACAGAGAGGCTGTACACCTTGATTTGTGGAATCAGCATTG